CATCCAGTGGTTTCTTATTCTTAATAGGGCCTGGCAGTTCAGCACTTGACTAAGTCATCTGGATGCCACTGGCCAGAGTCCATGCTGCCCCACTCTCTCTGCATGCGGACCAGAAGCCCTCCTCCCCACCCAGCCCACGCGGGCTGCAGTGAAGGCCTCTGGCCACTAGGTGGTCATGACACTTGAAAGGCCAGAGATGGATCTCCTGTATTTGGCAGCTCGAGGAACCCCGAGAGGCATCAGCAGTCCCAGAAGTTCTCCCCAAGCCCTCTCAGCTCTGACTGGAGCCAGCTCTGGGCCTGGAACTCTCAGACTTGAGAAGGTCCCTTCTACAGGTGGGGAGACTGAGGCCAAGAGAGCTGAGGGCACTTAGTGAGTCAGTATGAGAGCTGGACCTCGAACCCAGGACCTGTGCCTTCAAGTCCAGCACTGTGGACACAACAGCATGCATTAGAGGCACCCTCCCTGGAAGAGAGCTCAGGTGCCTGAAATTTCACCATGGGTGGGCATCATTCCTTTGGGTTAATTTAAAATGTAAATATTCCAGGTAGGTGGTTTGTCATGATATCCCAAATAGAATGCATCTCATCTCTCTCTCTTTCTCTCTCTTTTTTTTTTTTGGCTAGGCAATGGGGTTAAGTGACTTGCCCAGGGTCACACAGTTAGTAAGTGTTATATGTCTGAGGCCAGATTTGAACTCGGGTCCTCCTGAATCCAGGGCCGGTGCTCTATCCACTGCGCCACCTAGCAGCCCCTATAGGGTATCTCATCTCTTAGTACTTCGTTGTTGAGTCCCCATTTGGGGTTTTCTTGACAGAGAGACTGGAGGGGTTTGCCATTTCCTTCTCCAGCTCATTTTACAGATGAGAAACTAAAGCAAACAGGGTGAAGTGACTTGCCCAGGGTCACACAGCTAGTACGCTTCTGAGGCCAGATTTGAACTCAGGAAGATGAGTCTTCCTGACTCCAGGCCCAGCGTTCTGTGCAGTGGGCGCCCCTTAGCTATTTCACTTAGTAGGCCCTTAATAAATGCTTAGCAAGCCTAAGGGCCCCTCCTCCCATCTGAAATTGGAAGCTCTCTCCAGGTCAACGTGGTTCCCTCACTGTGCTCCGGGCCCTCTCCCATTTCCTCCAGAGCTTTCCCCCTCAACGGTCTCTTGGCTCCTCTCCACCTTGTCCTTAGGCCCTCCCTGGCTTTCTTCCCGCTGACAGCACGATGCTGCCCTCACCCTTGGTACCTCCTAATCAAGGTCCCCTCTTCTGTCTCCCTTTCCTCTCACACTCGATCTCCAGGAGGAAGCTGTGTGTGTTGCCCAGGGAGCCCGGAGGCTGGAGTCCAGCGCCGCCACCCCCAGCCCTGCACCTTCTGAATCCCACCAGTGGCCACTCCACCCCCGTGAAACGATCTCCAGGGCAGGGGCAGGCTCCTCAGGCAGCCCTTCCACACGAGGTAATTCTTTCTGGTGCCAAGCTCCCCCCGCTCTCGGATCTGCCCCCGGGACCATCAAACATCGTGATACTAATAGGAGGTGCTCCTATTCGCAAGACCCTTCAGGCGATTCAACGTAATTCAGTGTCCTCGGGCTGCGCCCCTCCATTCCTCCCGGCTTATCTGGTCCCACGTCTCTCCTCCGGGTGCCCGATTCTCTTCTCTCGCCAAACCTCATCCCGTCGTCCGCCTTCTCTGCTCCAGCTCCAGGGCGTCTGGGAGGACCACCACCAAGACCGTCTCCGTGACTGGTAACCCTTCTCTGGCCGTCTCTGTTGCACAGGGATCCATCCCCACCGTGGCTGCTGGAAAGGTCTAAATCTGCCCTCCACACGCCCGCCCCCGCCCCCGCCTCTACGTGGGGTGCCACATCCTGGCCCTGCGGCCTCGTTCCCCAGCTCCCGACGCCCGCTTCTCCCATCGGGGAGTTCTCCGAACCTGTTTTGGGGAAGGGCCCAGACCAGCCATCCCTCCTGCTCTGGGCTTGAAGCCCGGTTTGGGCTCCTGTCCCCCAGCCCTTTCAGCTCCCCATGAGAGCCGCGGGTACGTGTGTCCCCGGCACGTAGTCTAGCGCCCAGCACGCTTAAGAAGGGCTTGTGAGCCGACTCTCTTTGGAGCACTGGCCCTTCTTGCCAAGGCTTGACACCGCCCAGGTGGCATCTGACCGTGGGAGTCTGTGCCCTTGACCCCAGACCCCCTAGGAATTGTCTCCCTCCAACATCCCTCCCATCGCTGCCTCCCACAAACAGGCCCAGATAACTCCAGTCCTGAAAAACCCTCCACTTGACCCTATAGCGCTCATTTTCCAAGAAGGCAGTGGAGTTTGGTTGTGGGCAAGAAATGACCAAAGGGACGAGATCCTGCCCCGAGGGGAGGGAATCAAACCAGGACAACGCTGTCCCGAGGACAGAGAGCAGTAAAGACAAACCCCAGAGAGAGATTCGGGAGCCCTGGCGAGTCGGGCAAGCCTTCCTGCGGAAGGGACACACGTGTCACGAGGGTCTGGTTTCTTTTGGGTCAGTTTTCAATCGGGAAGGGCAGCACTATGATGCCAACAAAGGAGGCCATTGTCATCCTTTAAAAATGCACCAAAGAGAATTGAAGGAAACCAGAAGGAAACGAGCAAAGCGCTTTGGAAGGCGGACAATTGCATACGCACACCTCACATCCTCACACACGCCACACATAACTCATTCAGTGTACACACACACAAAGTCATACACAAACACACACGAACCACACACCCACACACCCCACACATACTCTCATACACAACACATTGTACACACATTAATACACACCTATGTACACACTCTCATACATCTCCACATATTCATATACATATTCACGCTTGCATACGTATGTACATGCACACTCACAAACATATATACACTCATATGCTCCCCACTCATACATGCAGACATTCCCCACACACTTCTATACACACACATGCATACATACACAAGCACATATGTATTTACACACTCATATACCACACTCCTACACATGCAAACACATATGAACACATACTCTCATATATCCCCACACTCGAACACATATGTACACTCCCCACAAACACACACACACATACACTAAACAAGCATTCCTGATTTCATACAGAATCTTCTTTTGAGCTCTGCCAAGTGTATGGAAATGCTCTTTTGGGTATTTATGTTCAGAATTTAAATTTTTTTAAAAAAAAGAGGAAAAAGAAAAGAGATGAAGCCATCCTAATTTCCTGTTTCCAGCCTCTCTCCTCCCCTGTTCATTCTCCACAAAACTTTCAGTGATTTTTCCTCTTTTTAATCACATTAACATTTTATCTACTTCTTTACTTTTGAAAAATCAGTTCCTAGTTTTTTGTTTTGCTTTCCGTTTTGTTAACCCACTCTTTTTTTAGGATTTACTTAATCTTGTTAATTTTTAATCCTTTCTTTAATGAATTAAATTATTTTTATTGCATTGTGGTCAGCCAAGGATATTTAATATTACTATTTTTTCCCTGCATTTGTTTGTCAAGTTTTTATGCCCCAATACATGGTCAACTTTTCTTTTTTCTTTTTTTTTTTTTTTGACTGGGCAATGGGGTTAAGTGACTTGCCCAGGGTCACACAGCTAGTAAGTGTTATGTGACTGAGGCCAGATTTGAATTTAGGTCCTCCTGAATCCAGGGCCAATGCTCTATCCACTGCGCTACCTAGCTGCCTAGCAGCCCCTTAAGTTAATAGCTTTACCATTTTGAGATGTAAATGTTGTATATCAAAGACGGTAAGCTTGTGTGTGTGTGAGTGTGTGGCAATTGGGGTTAAGTGACTTGCCCAGGGTCACACGGCTAGTAAGTAGTAAGTGTCAAGTGTCTGAGGCTGGATTTGAACTCAGGTCCTGACTCCAAGGCTAGAGCTCTATCCACCTGTGCCACTTAGCTGCCCCCACAGTCAACTTTTCTAAAGGTACCATGCATAGGTGAGCAAATTCCTTTCTATTCCTGCTCAGCATTTACCAGATATCTATCATATCTAACTTTTCTAAAATTCCAATCAAGTCCTTATCTTCTTTCTTGTTTGGTTTTCAGTTAGATTTGTCTAGCTCTGAAATGAGTGCACATAGGACCCCACTCTTACAGATTTACTGTCTATTTTTCTCTATGTCTTTCCTTTTAGGCATTTAGTGGCTGTGCTATTTGATGAATATACGTAAAGTATTCAAGTTAATTCGTTGTCTGAGACATTTTTTAGCAAAATGTCATTTCCTTACTTACCTCTCCTGCTAATAAAGACTCTGTTGTTGCTGGATTTTAGGCCCTGCCTGTTTTGGTTCAGCTGAGGTATTTCAGGGCCTGCCTGACAGGGCCTGTCCTTGGCTCAATGGTCACTCTGTCTTACCTCCAGACCCAAGATGAAGCACCTTGCTTGGCACTTAGGGCTCTTCACAGCCTGACCCCTTCCTCTCTTTCCAGGCTGATGACCTACATGCCACTTTAAGCCAGCTGCCTCTACCTCTGGAAAGCTCTTAAAATCCTGGGTCTCCCTCTAAATTTGGTTCAGTTGACACTCTCTGCAAGAGGTCTTCCCTGCCTGCCCCCTGCCTCCCAACTGGGTCCCTTCCCCAAGGTGACTGGCCACGTGTCTACATTGCAGGTGCTCATGTGTATACACACGTGCAGACACCTATTTGTGTATGTACATGCTTTTGCCCTCCCCATTAGAAGTTCAGCTCCTGGCCTGGGCACTCAGGTACCAGTAACTCACCGGGTCCACAACAGGTGGGTCGGCTGGCTCCTGGGTGGGCTGCACCACTTCCCTAAGTCCACCAGAAGTGGCAATGCCGGGCTGTCCTCCCGGGATCCCTGGCCCAGCAGCGACCTGGCACCAGAGGCCCCACAGCTGCCTTGCCAGACAATCCCCAGGAAAGGAGGAAGCCAGGAGCTATTGCCATTTCTGGGGAGGCAGAAGGAGATGACCACTCCCCACCTCCCACAGTGGCCACTGGAAACACGGACATGAAACTGGCCTCAGGCTTGTTGGAGGATTCTTTTTTATTATTATTATCATTATTGAAGATGAACTAAAAGAAGCCGACATAGCCATGTCAAGGCCCTGGCCCTTCTCCTGTGACCCCCCCCGGCCACACCCTTCTTTTCCCCTGGCCACGCCCACTCTCTCAGTTGCAAATCTGGAGCAGGAGGGGCATAGCAGGCCTGGGCCTGTCTAGAAGCCCTCCAGGTGGCAGAGGCCGGGTCGCTCGAGGGGAATCCAGGTAAAAATGAAACCAAAGGAAAGAAGCCCAGGCGAGAAGCTCTGCCCATCCATCCACTTCAAAAGGAAAAGTCACTTTTCAGAACGGAATGCTGGGAGCGAGTTCTCTGCACAGGAAACCAAGGACAGGAAAAAGCCGAGAACAAAACGAAACACGGACTGGCCCAAACACCAGCCCCGCTCCAGCGGGGGGGCTCCCCCACGCTCCCCCATCCAGCCACGAGCAGGGAACCAGGACAAGCCCCAATGTCATCAGCGCAGCGATGGCGCCCGTCCCACGAGTCCTGGGGACATCCGCTGCCCCATCTCCGGAACGTCCACTGTTGAGTCCGTGAGCGTGCAGGCGCGTGCCGGTGTGCGCGTGGGTGTGTGTGTGCATACATACCCGCAGAACCACACCCGCACACACAAACACGCGCGCACACCCACGCCCGCAAGCACGTGCAGAAATAGAATATAGACTAGGGTCGGTTTCTCTTTCCAAAGGTCCGTGCGTGTCCCGGTCCCCACGGAAGGCTCATCTCTCCTTCACGTGGTTCTGTGCCCCTCCGCTGCCGCCGCTCCCCCCGTTGCCATTACCGCCCCCGCCACCCCCGCTACACAGGACCTCCGTGAGGTCGTCCATGACCGTGACCTCCTTGGAATCAACCAGGTTGAACTCCCTGATGAAGAGGATGAAGTGTGTGTAGAGGGTGTTCAAATGTCCGTGCAGCTCCAAGGCCAGGGTCTCCTTGAAGTGCGCCGCGTAGATGTGCGCCAGCACGTGGAACAGGTATCTGCAGATCTTCTTGACCAGCGACTCGAAGGAGTTGGGGAATTCCTTGCCTGGGATGGGGCAGACAAGGTGACGTCAGAACCCGGGGCTCAGGCGGGGCTCAAAGGGAGGGAGCAGAACCCAGGCCTCCGGCCTCCCTCCCCTTCCCTTTTCCCCACTGGCACAGGCTCTCCTGGACTGAGGAGAAGATCTCGGGGTCAAAGACGCCCGGCCACTGCTCAGCCAATGGCCACACCACACGGCCATGGAGGGCAGGAAGAGATGGACTGCAATAAAATTCTGCCAAGTGGGGCTCACTTGCTGGGTCAGTAAACATCGACCGGGCACCTGCTTTGTGCCAGGCTGGGGATACAAAGGGAGGAGAGCCCTCTTCGAGCTCTCCCGCAGGAGCCTCAGTGGGAAGGGCCAGAGAAAACCCGCCTTCTCTCCCAGAGCTGGTTAAAATCATGCAGCAGCCACAAGGGGCAGAGTGCCCGGCTCTGTCTCAACATCCCAAGGCATCACTCCATCCTAACCAGCATGGCCCGAACTTCCCACACCATCCCTTCAGAGGGCACTCACAGCCCCTTGCCTCCTTTCTCAGGGGCCTCCTGCAGTTTTCAAGGCCGCCCAGAGCCCAGATTCCCAGAGGCCCAGCAACAAGGGCCCCGAGCCACGGCCCCTCTGCAATACTTCCCTCAGGGACCCAGCCTCAAAAACACTTCCTGGAAGCATCTGCTCCTGCAACACTACTGTCCACGCTCGCTTACAGAAGTGCGCTCGGCCTCTAAGGCTCAGCTCAAGGGCTGCCTCCTCCAGGAAGTCTTTCCAGATTCCCCCCACGGATCAGGCTCTCTTCCTCCTCCAATCCCCTTCTCTTTACTTTTCTGTGTGTGTGCTATGGAATGCAAGCTCTCTGGGGGCAGAAAGGGCCTGTGGTCTTTCTTTGCATCGCACAGAGGGCCCCCAATGAGATCATCAGCTCAGCTGTGGGTGGGTGGGGACTGTGCCTCCCCTTCTTCTCCGCCATCCCCCCTATCTTGGCGCCTGATCCAAGAGCCAACCGGAGAACCTACCCCATCCCCGCAGGCCAGGTACAAAGAAAGCACCCCAAGGTCTCTGGGGAAAGGTAAGGCTCCCCAACTTCGCAGAAAGCACAGGGGAGGGGGCGAGGCAGCGAGGTGAGGGACGCTAAGCCTCCTACCCTGGGCCCCCCATTCCCTTCTCTGAGGAGCCGAGGGCCCAGGGGCCCTAGGGCAGGCCTTGCGAAGCAGGGGCGGGGCGGGGGGCAGGCCTACCGTATTTGGTAGGGAAGACGTCCTCGTCAGTCACCAGCTTCTGCACCGAGCTCATGACGAAGTCGACGTACTGGGGGGCCGTGCACTTGGTCTTCTTCCCCCGCTCGTCATACCAGTAGTATTGCCTAGGGGCAAGGCGTCAAGGAGCCTTTGGGTGTGTGGAGTCACGTGACCCCAAGGGCAGGGTGGGGCTCCCCCCCACCCCACCCCCCGCGGCGTGGCCAGCTCCTCCCAGGCCCCGCCTCCTCCTGGTCATTCAGCCGGCCCCAAGACAACACCAGCCCTACAGAGGCTTCCTAGCCAATGTAACAAACACGGATTAAGCCCTTCCTGTGTGTAAGCGTAAGACCAGCGAGCTGTCCTGAGGAGAAAGAAGCGTCCCTGCTCCTAGGTGAGCTGTGTGGAGGAGAGGGAGGAGGGGTACAATCTGGATATGGCAAGGTCACGTGTAACACTGGCCGAGAAAAGCCTGGGGCCTGCAGAGCTGGGTCAGGTCAGGCCTGAAACGGGGCCCCACCCTGCCTGGCTCCTCTGGGCCAACAATAGATCATCCCATCCTGACCCAGGCAAGCCAGGCTGCTTCCTCCTGGCTGGCCTCCGGCAGCCTGACACTGTTCTCCTCCCCTATTCCCTACCCACAGCCTCGGCGTCAGCTGATGCTGCAGGAGGTCAAATGCTGCTGACTCCTTTACCCTTCCTCCCCTCCTGGGAAAGCAAGAGAGCTGGGCTGCATCTCTGCCGCTGGGCGGGCCCTCTGCCCTCTCCTCACACTAAAGGGTCTGTCAGGGGCTTGAAGCTGAGGAAGGATCTGGGGTGTGAGGACCGAGACTTGGAGAGGGAGGAAGAGGAAGGAGGGAAGGAGGAGGAGGACAGCCCGTTTGTAAAGTGTGTAGGTACAGATGACCCTGCAGGGGGGGCCACAGACGTGTGTGCGTGTGTGTGTGTGTGTGTGTGTGTGTGTGTGTGTGTTTGTGTGTGTGTGGGGTGGGGAGATCTGCCCTACGGGAGGGAGCACACGCCCGAGGGGCTCTAGGAAGGGCAAAGATGTGCGTTGGAGTGCAGGGCCTGACGAGGCACAGGCAGCAGCATCCTGGCCTCCCTGCCTCCTGGGCACCAGCAGGGGCTCCCAAGGCCAGTGGCACAAAAGCTTCCCAGGAAGCCGAGGGCAGGTGAAGCCCTCACAGAGGAGTCCTGGCCGAGGCAGCACAACGCCCCAAGCCAGGGGCAGGGCCAGTCTCTCAGGACCCACTCCTGACCTACAGCCTCCTAAAGATTCTGAGGAAGAAAGGAAGGCCCAGCCCAGGTGGCCCAAGCTTAGTGTCCTTAGTGACACCCAAGTTGTGTGAAAACTCCCCAAAGGCAGGCCAGGAGGCCCCCCTTCTCCTGTTCTGACAGATCTCATGTTGAAAAACACAGCTTTGTATTCCAACTCTTCTGGCTGAGCAACCTTGACCAAGCCTGGGTTTTGAAAAGCCTCAGTTTCCTCCCCTCTAAAATGGGTACTAACCTTCAGCCAACTGACAGGTGGGTTGTCATGGTAACAGCACTCATTTCCATACTGCTTTAAGGTGTGCAGAGCACTGCTCTCTCTAGAAACCCACCTCCATGTGATGGGCATGGAACCCAATATAGCACGATCGCACTTGCTCCTCTATTCCCCACTCTTTCCATCTCGGCCTGGACTGTCAGCTCTTTGAGGCCAAGTGCATTCCTAAGTGCTGGAGCCATCCTAAAAGAACTGCTGCCCCGGCAGTGGAGATGGGGAGCTCTGGCAGCCCTAGCTGGATGGCAGTCCCATATGTCACATTGTACAGGAAGTTCTGGCCAAGTCGGGTTTGACTGGAGCGGCTCCGGCTTGGCTAGTCGGGGTCCTGGGGAGCTCTTGGACCTTGGCGGGGGAGGGGAGCACAGGGTGGCCCCCCATTCTCCAGCTTCAGCACACTGGAGGGCCCCAAGAAAGATCTGTCGACAGATCTGAAGATTCTAAGCAAAGTGAAAGCTGGGTCAAAGTAACCCTCTTTTCTCTCATGAGTGTAAAGTTCCCAGGCAACAGAACCGGGAGGCGAGTGGGACCACCTTCCTTGTCTTGATGGGCATGTCGAGCCCAACCCACCCATTTTACAGGACTTGCTCACTGCCACAGAGCAAATCAATGGCAGAGTCAGAGATGGCCGGAGTTGAAGGGCCACCAGCCCATTCCCCAATTCTACTCCCAATGCTCCCTCCAACTGTACAGTTAGGAAGTGTTTGCTAATGTCATGCCCCAGTCTGCAGCACTCCTGCCTCCTGCTTGCCAGGCCAGGGTCCTTGTCACGCCTACATCTTTTACACAACAGCCCAAGCCACCAATGCTCCAGCTCAGTCGGGAGCACAAGAGCATGGTGATGGGTGGCTCAGCACTGCTTTCTCCTCGAGGCTTTTTCAGGAGTGGTTGTGCAAACGAGGCACATGTGAGAGGGCTGGTAAAGAAGGACTGCCATTCCTCAAGGCCCTGCAGGGTCCCAGGATCCCCGCTCCAGCTGGGAGGCTCACTCAGTTCTTCAGGCTGTCCATCCACAAGGATGCTTCTTTTCATTCTTTCAATGGTCCAGCCTGAATGCTGCAGGGCTGCAGCAGAGATGCAGGGTGGGGTGGCCCAGGTTCCTAATCATGTGCACTCTTTTATTAACTGGGCCTTATCCAGCTTCAAGGCAAGAAACAGCAGCATTCCCCAACCTGAACAGGGCAGTTCTCCTCTACACTCCCTGGGCCCAGCCCAACTGCGAGGGCCACAGCACAGGAGACCACAGGACACCATGTCCTGGACCTCACTTATTTACTCCCTTGGTGACTTTTGGTCCTGGATGTCAGTTGAGAGCACACCAGGGCTGCAACTGAGGCCTTGCCCCTCATAGATCCAGGCTGACTGTCTTATAAAGATTACTGGCCACGGGGCTACCCCCATCTTCTCCAACAGACATGCCCAGGTTCACCCTCATATTCAGTCTCTCTGTTTATGGATACTTTCTTTCCCTATCAAACCCCTTTCTTCCCTATTACCGTGGAGGGCAACACCACCTCCTAGTCACCCAGGCTCAAAACCTAGGGGATATCTGGACTCCTCACTCTCTCCCCCCCAAATCCTACATGGTGCCAAGGCCCCTCAATTTCACCTCTACTGCATCTCTGAGTTAATTTCACCTCTACTGAATCTCTTGTCAATTTCACCTCTGCTGCATCTCTTGTCAATTTCATCTCTGCAGCCTCTCTTGTCAGTTTCATCTCTGCAGCCTCTCTGGCTGATTTCACCTCTGCTGCATCTCCCCAATACACCCTTCTCTCCCCTGCCCCTACCCCCAGGCCTAAACTATTGCAATGCCCTCCTGGTGGGTCTCCCTACCTCAGGTTATCTCGTATCTATTCTAGTCTATCTTTTACTTAGCTATCAAATTGATCCCTTCCTTAAGTGCAGGGCTGATCATGTTACACCCCTTCCTAATAAACTCCAGTGTTCACAACCAGTGTCTCTGATAAGGGCCTCATTTCTAAAATATATAGAGAATTAAGTCAAATTTATAAAACTACAAGTCATTTCCCAATTGATAAATGGTCAAAGGATATGAACAGGCAGTTCTCAGATGAAGAAATTAAAGCCATCTATAGTCATATGAAAAAATGCTCTAAATCACTATTGATTAGAGAAATGCTCATCAAAACAACTCTGAGGGACCATATCACACCTATCAGATTGGCCAACATGATAAATGCTGGAGAAGATGTGGGAAAATTGGAACACTAATGCACTGGTGGTGGAGTTTGAATGGATCCAACCATTCTGGAGAGCAATTTGGAACTATGCCCAAAGGGCTATAAAAATGTGTATACCCCTTGACCCAGCAATAGCACTTCTAGGGTTATATCCCAGAGAGAACATAAAAATGGGGAAAAGACCCACATATACAAAAATATTGATAGCAGCTCTTTCTGTGGTGGCAAAGAATTGGAAATTGAGAGGATGCCCATCAATTGGGGAATGGCTGAACAAGTTGTGGTATATGAATGTAACAGAATATTATTGTGCTATAAGAAATGACGAACAGGCAGACTTCAGAAAAACCTGGGAAGACTTGTATGGACTGATGCTGAGTGAAGTGAGCAGAACCAGGAGAACGTTATACACAGTGACAGCCTCGTTCTTCCATGACTAAGTTGATAGACTCAACCCTTCTCAGAAATACAAGGATCTAAGACATCTCCAAAGGCCTCATGATGGAAAATGCTATCCACATATGAAGAAATAACTATGGAGTTTGAATGCAGATCGAAGCGTACCATTTGCTCTTTTTTTTCTTCTGTTGTCTTTCTGGTGGTTCCTCCTATTGGTTCTAATTCTTATCTACAACATCACTAATGTGAAAATATGTTTAATAGGAATGTACATGTAGAGCCTATATCAGATTGTGTGCTGTCTTGGGGAGGGAAGTGGGGAGGGAGAGGGAAAGGGAGAAAAATTTAAAACTCAAAAGGTTATGGAAGTATTGTTGATAAATCAAAATAAATTAATTTTTAAAAAAATTTTAAACTCTAGTGGCTCCCCATTCCCTCGAGGCTAAAATCCTCTGTCTGGCTCTTAGAGCCCTTCACAACCTGGCCCCTTGCTGCTTTTTCAGTCTCTCAATGTCGGAAGCTGTTTCTGACATCAGCCCTAAATCCTTTCTGGGATTCCCTTTCCTGCTCCTGGTTCTGCCATCAGAGACCCAGTAGGACCCCCTTCCACAGAACCAGCCTAACGTTACCAGAAGGATCGGATTATGTAATATAATAAGAATGATGATAAACAGTAGTAGCTAGCATTTATTAAACACCTACTGTGTGCCAGGCACTGTGCCAAACACTTTACAAAGATGATCTTCAATCCTCACACCCCCTCTGGGAGGCAGGCTATTATTACCCCCACTTTACAGATGAGGAAACTGAGGAAACCAGAGGTGAAGTGACTTGCCCAGGGTCACCGTACCCCAAGAAAACACCCTGCCATGAACATTTCCTTAGTGAGATCCACACCGGTCTTTGCAGTTGCCTCCCCATCAGCTCTGCCTCTTGCAATCCTTGTCTCCCATCAAGGCCCAGTTCAGGTACCCTCCCCCCCACTCCGGGCCCTCCTCTTCCTCCAAAGGCTCAGTCCTCTCCCTCAGCTCCTGTTTCTATCAAACTTGGATGAGTTTTGCTAAGCCCTTTTCTTACACTAACTGTGTGAGAGGCATGGTAATTATCACTGTGCCATCTAAGGATAAGCAAACTGAGGAAGACTGTGCAACTGACCAAGGTTCACGGCCTCGCCTGGCTCTTTTCACTGCTTCCTTCAGAGAATGGTCCTCTGTTTCATGTGGCACTCTGGGGACACAGCCCCGCCTCCTCTGGTTCTGAGACACGGGAGGCGCTTCAGTAGTAAATGCTTCCTGACTTGGCCCATACCTGGTAAGGAACCTCTGCGTGGGTCTGAGATTTACTCCCACTAGAGCCCTTGAGGATCCAGCCCAGGCCCCTGCAGGTGCACGCAGGGGACAAACTCCAGACACCCTGGGCTCTGAGGCGGCTCCTGGAACAGTGGAAGAGACTGCCACCCCTCCTCCACCCCCAGGTCACAGAGTTACTCACGTGTTGCCCACGGCCATAGTCTGGCAGGTGTCTCCTGTGCAGAACTCGGAGATTGTGCTATACTGGAGGTTGATGTGGTGGAAAAAGGTGGTCGCTGGAAGAGAGAAGAGAAACCAAGGTGTGGCCATGGTGGAGCCCAGGCCCAGCTCTCCCAGCTCTGGGGAGACAAACCCCCTACAGCCGCAGAGAGCGAGGCCAGCCAGGGGGCTGCTGTTACCGCCCCCAGGGGCCGCTTCAAGGCAAACTAATGACCCAATCACGGTTTTTAGGGGTGCAAATGAAAACCAATGCAACGCTGGGCAGCCCCTCAAAGGGACAGAGTTGGCCTGGACCCTGGCAAACAGCCTCGGGTTCCTTAAACGGGGCGTTTCCTGCACACTGAGCACCTGAGCAAGAAAGCGCTAGCAGGTCCCAGCATCGCCAGACAAGCACCCGCCCTGCTCCAAAGAGCGGGCATGTTCCTGCAAACCCAGAGCCATGGTCTGTGCCCTGCCCACCAAGGCTCCACAATGAGTGCTGCTTTAGCCAACTTCTCCCTCCTAGCCCCGGCTGAAGCCCACTCTCTGGGACTCTGACATCTCCCCCAAGGCCGGGTCAGGCTTTTAACCTACAGATGTCACCAGCCGAGTGTGACGGGAAGCCTGCTGGGGCAAGTCTGGCCACAGGACAGCCCTTCGGTAGGGCCTTTGTACCAAAGCCCACGCGTGGCCTCTCACTCGAGGCTCTGTACAGAGCGCGGCAAAATGAGCCCGCTCCGGAAGCCCTCCATGGGGGCTTTCGCTTTAAGGACGCCAAAGGCTGCGGCCTCTCCCCAACCCGAAGGTGACCGTGACCTTCAAGAATCCTGGGACTTCTGATCACACGAAATAGAAATCCGTGCAGCCTGGAGAGCTGGGGAACTTCACTGGGGAAAAACTCCTTGTCTCAAACATCTCAGAGCAGGTCTAAACAGAGCCAACCGGAACCGGGGCAACCAAATGTCATCCCCAGGTACGTGGCAGAATGTACGGACTGCTGCCAGCCCCCACAAGCCTGCTCCGAATCAGCGGGGAGAAGTAAAGGGCAAACGAGGACCCCTTGGAGGGCCCCACATCGCCACCCCACAAACGGACCGAGATGACAGAAGGGGATGAGGAAGAGGCTGTCTGAAGGGGCTCCAGGTGCGGACAGTCAGTCTGACCACCCCATGACCCCGAGAGCCCCGCTGGGCACCCGCCCTAGCCAGCAAAGAGACACAAAGAACAGAGCAGAACTTTGGGGGAGCAAAGAGCAGCCGGGGCAAGGGAGGTGCTGCATGGAAGGACCCTGGGAAGACGTCCACAGATGATACAGAGCAGAGGAGGCAGAAGCCAAAGGAGCACACGACAGGTGTGTGACAATCCATGGCTCAGAAAAGGGGGCTCCCCCCCTCAGCCAGGGGCTATGGGATCCTCCTCCGGGTGAGCAGGGAGGCCAGCTGGGGCGCAGGGGGCGAGGGGCTCGGCAAGGCCAGGGAGAAGGGGCCGTGCAGGGGAGGGCTACCTACTATTGCTGGCGAGCCACTCGTTGAGGTCGATCTCCCGCGGCAGCACCACTAGGTCCTTGAACTCAAAGTCTGTGATCCTGGACTTGGCGTACTCCGGCTCCAGGTACAGTTTCTTCTCTTCGGCCGGGGGTTTCTTGCCGTTTGGCTTGGCCTTGGACTTCCTAGACAGAGGCAGAGGGAGAAGGGAGCGCACGGTCACCGAGCAGCGGATGACCCAGCCGAGGACGGCGGGTGGGAGGAGCAGAGTCTCCATCCGCTCTCTCCTCGGTGACTCCCTCTCGCACCCATCCCGTGGGGAGGGCCGCTCAGTGACCCTGGGGCCCTCCGCTGGCTGGCCCACCCTCGTGTGACTGGATGACAAGCCTAGAGTCTCGGGCCCAACAGCCAGCGGGAGCGCTTCCAAAGAGAGACGCTGGCTCTTAGGCCTCTGGCCACATCCCCACAGTTTTGGGGGGGAGGACGGCTGGGAGAGAGAACGGGCGACTTGAGAACAGGATGCCTGTCCATCCTTCCTGGAAAACAGACCTCCACAGGCCACACACAGGTTTTTAGCGGCTCACTTTCCAAATGAAGGTATAATTAATGATAAAAGTATTTTGCAGATAAACCATATTTTTTTTAAAAAGGAAAATTTCAATTAATATCAATTAATTATACTTATTACCTAAGATTTGTATTTATCATGAAATCACAAAAAAAGACTTTGCCACACTCGCTTCTTTCCTGTTCAACGCCAATAATGACCGAAAACACAGTGAAAAGCTACGGCTCTCGCTCCTCTCAGACCAGAGACAGACTGGCGATGGCTGGCTGTCGCAGGTCACGTGACAAACAGGAAAGAGCGTGCATCGGCAAACACCCGCCAAGTTACATGACGGGCACAGTCGTGACTAGCGGAAGGCGGGTGAACCGGGGTGCAGACAAAGCACTCATTACATCTTTACTTTCTTTTACATCCTCGACGTTTTTCACGGGCCGCCCAAAATCCTTTGGCTTGGCAGGCCTATGTTGGGCAGACCTGGTGTAAAAGCTCCCAGATGTTCACACCCAAACTGATGACCCGTCAGACAGCTGCATCCGGAGAGGTCCAGACCCTCGGGTGCCTTAAGGAGAACAGAGTTGTCTCCCTGAAGAGGGTCTGAAGAAAGCTCCAACTTCAGCCCTGGGCACCGTGCTGGGGGCTCCGCAAATGTCAGCGCCGCCCAGGACGGACACCCTCAGTGGCCAGAGAGGCTACATCCAAGCCCCAGGCCTCGAACAGCATTAGGAACAGACTTAGGTGGTTGGGTTTTTTCCCACTGAACAAGCATTTAGATTTCTCTCCCTCCCATGGAAAACTAGGACTCAACCCTTGTGAAAAATATACCTGGTCAAGCCAATCTACCTTCTGCTCTGACTGTGCTGCAGATGGGAGCCCCGGAATAGGGAAAACGCAGCAGGATTCTGAGGTCAAGAACCAGGGCGTCAGCCAGCCCCCCCCCCTCCTCCGGCTGCTCCTGGGCATCGGGGGCACCACCGCACAGCGTGTTAGGATGACTCACCTGTGTTCCGCTCCCACGTCAGACACCTCCTAACTGATGTGACCCTGGGCTAGTCATCTCACCTCTGTCTGCCTCAGTTACCTCCTCTGTAAAGCGGGGATACTAATGGCCCTTATACTGTGCAGGGCTGTTGTGAGGATTGACAAGATCATATTGGTGAAGCGCCACACAAATGCCAACGATCCTCTCCCTCCCCCTCCTCTTCCACTCACCCATTTCTGCACACGTACAACGAGGTGGCTGGACGGGACAACCTCCAAGGACTCTCCCAGCTCTACATCTGACCCTGCCGTGTTCAAGGAGAAGTAGCCCACCAGAAGGCGATGCCCACGGTGGGCTGGATGACCCCTCCCCTCCAGAGGTGCTCAGAAGGCCCCATCCTCCTTTACCAACTAGAGCCAAGAGACCCTGAAAGGTCATCTGGAAAAGGCCAGAGCCCAGGGATTCTCCAGCTAGGTGGCAAGGGCCCAGACCCATCAGGGTGGGAATTAGGAAAGCATCCTGCCGAGGATCTTGTGAGGATCTTGTGTGTGTCCCAGGGGACGCCCCAGGGATAGTCCTGCCTGTGGCTTTCCTCTAGCTGTCAATCAAGAAAGACTTCCTGGGCCTTTCTATCCAAAGCCCAGGGCAGGAGACCAAAAGACAGACCTTGCCAGGAGGGTCTCTGGCTTCTGGCGGGACACAGAGCCTTCCTGAAGGAGGAGCAGATGCAGGGACATCAGAAGTGAGGAGAGGGAGGTTGACAGGCAGCACTTTCCCTCTAAGGGGTGAGCCCTGGTAGGGCCCTGTCAGGAACTCCCTCTCTAGCCCACCTCCTTGCCTCATCCCTTCTCACCGTCATTTCCAACATCTCCTCACCTACCCGCACCTTCCTCTGTGGCCTCCAAATTGGCCCAAATTCCCTTAAAACCCTTTTTCTTGGCCCCACAGCCCCTGGAGATCTGGACATCTCTCAGAAGGAGCTCTGGGCCCTCCCGGCCGCCCAGGCCTCTCCTCTCACTCTGTCCCCAAATCCAACTGCTCTCCTTCTTCCTGACTGTGCAGATGTCTCTCCTCCTGGCTCTCTCCCTCTCCCTCCTTCCTGCTCTCTCTCTCTCTCTCCCTCCTCCCTGCTCTCTCTCTCCTTCCTCCCTGCTCTCTCTCTCCTTCCTCCCTGCTCTCTCCCTCTCTCTCCTTCCTCCCTGCTCTCTCTCTCTCTCTCTCTCTCCCCCCCCTCCTTCCGGCTCTCTCTCTGGCTCTCAGGTCCTCTCTGGTCTCCTCTGCCTCCACCTAATTCACACTGGGCTCTTCCTTCTCCCTCCTTCCATGTGTCTCCCCTATCACTGTCCCCTTCCTCAGACCTGCTAGGTCCCTAAAGAGCAGCTCTGACCATGCTACATCTACTCTCAACAACCTTCAAAGACTCCCCATCAGTTTTATTCATTATTCATTTTTTCCCCACTGCCCTTACATTAAAAGACAAGTCTCTCTGTTGGGAATTTAAAACCCATCACAATTAGGCTGCTTGGGGGAGCAGCAGATAGAGTGCCAGGCTTGGGGTCAGAAAGGTCTGAGTTTTAATCCTTGTTCATTAGGTAGCTCCATGACCCTGGGCCTCAGTTTCCTCATCTGTAAAATGAGAGGTTGTAAAGCCACAGCTTAGTGCCCCTCCCTTTTTCCATTCTCAAGTCGCCAATCGCTGGGAAGCTCAAACATGCCTTCTCCCCCCACTGAATGTAAGGAGGGTAGGGTCTCCCCCTAGTGTTCAACATACTGCCTGGAACACAGTAGGCCCTTCATGTTGGTTGGCAGCAGCAGATTTCACTAATTAGCTGTGTGAACTTGGGCAAGTGATGACCCTGTTTCCACATCTGTAAAAGAAGGCATTTGGGCTAAATGCTTTCTAAGGCTTGCAGCCCACTCAGACGCCAAGATCTTTGTCAGATGAGCTGCTCTTAGCTACATCTCCCCTATTCACTTTTCACTTTAAAATTTGGGAAGGAAGCAGAGTGTTCCTTTAAAGGAGAGGCAAGGAAACATGGCTCCACCTGTTGCCTGTCCACTCCCCAAACTCTCAAGATTGGGCAGGGGCTCTGAACCCCTCCCGCCAGCCCTGGGGAAGGTCTATTCTGCTCCTTGTAATGATTGAGTTCCTCCCTCCAGATCCCCCTGGGCTTCTGCCCCCTGGGGCCACCAAGAACAAAGCCACTTGCTCTCCCCCAGGACAGCACCTGACACTTGGACACAGCGCCCATGCCTCCCCTAGATTCCTCCTCAGCCCTGTGCTCCCTGCCCCGGGGCCTCCTCCAGGCCTTTCACCCTCCAGAAAGCACTCCTACTCTCCTCCACGTCTTCTTAAGGTCTAGGATGTGGGGCAGGGTGGGGAGGGGGACGCCACCCTCTGGCTTGGAGGAGATCAGGGCCTCCCAAGCCTCTCCAGGTGCTCTCAGCGCAGACCACACTACTCACTCATACTGAACCTGGGGTCCACTCAGACTCAGAGGTCTTTTTCAGATACTTTCCCCCTTTTGTGCTGAGGCTTAAAGCTGGTTCTGTGTGTAGTGTGCCCACTTGGGAAGCAGGCTGGAAACTTGTCAGGGCATCGATCATTCTCCTGGTCTATCTGGAATCCACCCTCCTCACAGCCCTGACTTAAACCCTTCAGCAGGGAAGGTGGCTTAGATAAGAAGTCTTCGGCTCCGGGCCACAATGATTGGCCCCGCAAAGGGCGGCAATAAACCCTGTTAGCCGGCTTCGGTCTGGGGCTGGATTAACTCAGGAGTGCGGCCGGGTCTCAGCAGCTGCGCACTCACCTTTGCCACCGGCGCAAGCAGACAGACTGAGGACCGGAGGGGCCTTCGAGAGGGCTGGAAGTCGCAGGATTGGGGAGGGAGGCGTCTCCTCAGCAGGAAGAGTGGCCCAGCTCCCTGGGAAAGGAGAGCGCACCAGGGCCGAGACGAGAGAGGGAGCCGCCTTCATTGGGAACAGCGGATGATGCAATGCGATGCAACGCATTGGCCACAGCGCCTGTCTCCTTCCCCCACGTCCTCCTCCGTGGCCAGGGCACCTTTCGCCCTTTGCCACTGCTTCCACCCTTGCGGGGTGGGGAGCTGTCCAGCTTGAGGACAGCGGGGTGGGGGGGGGCAGGAAAAGCGGGAGTGGGGGAGCCATTTCAGAAGAGAGGGTGGGATTGGGATGGCTCCAAGGCAGGCTCCCTTCCCACACCGGGCATTCAGAAAGGCCTTCGTTCAATCTCGTCTGAGCTCTCCTACTGCCTCTGGATCCAGCCGCGGAGGAGAGCAACTTGTCCCCATGCACATCACGAGGACCCTGGGTACATAGATGTGAACGTGCGCACAGCACAGCAACTACATGTGGATTGCACGTGTATGCAAATATGGCCTTGCATTCAGACGCGCTGCACAGTGTGCACACAAACACACACATGCATGTGAATGGGTATGTGCGCACAACACACAAACATGTATGTGGATGTATGTGCACACAACCGTAATGTATGTGGCTGCATACAGAGTATGCACACACATGTACATGTATGTGGGTGTGTGCATGTGCACGCACGCGCACACACACACGCACACACACAAACAGCCACAAAAAGCGCTCCGCAAAGTCGTGTG